GAAGGTCAAACAAGCCGTCCCCCAGTGGTCCTCGGATTATTTTGTCTGCAGCCAGAGTCCGTCCGCCTGTGAGGATGTGGCTGTACCTGGCCGCCCTGCTGGGGCTGTACTTCCTCTGCCGATGGTATCGGGAGCGGCAGAGCGTCGAGGGCCTCCCGGAGAAATACGTCCTGATCACCGGCTGCGACTCCGGCTTCGGGAACCTGCTGGCCCAGCAGCTGGACGTGCGGGGCCTGCGGGTGCTGGCGGCTTGTCTCACCCAGCAGGGCGCGGAGCAGCTGAGGAAGGCGACGTCGCAGCGGCTGCAAACGGTGATCCTGGACGTCACCCGGACCGACAGCATCGCCGCGGCCACCGCCTGGGTGAAGGAACAAGTGGGGGACAAAGGTGCGGCTTGGACGAGATGCTGGTGGTTATTGCACGGGGCTGGGGCTGGGTCCGTCTCCTGCCCCCTCGGCCTGAGGTCTCAGGAACCTGCATTAATGTCCTGCCCATCCTTCGCCCGAGGCTGCAGAGGGGCCGGGGGTGGGGGCAGTGGCGGGCACAAAGACGATGGTCGTGTTGGCAAAGTGCAGCCTCATGGGGGCGGGTATTTCCCGCCAGAGCTGGGTGGGGAATTTCCCGCGCCCGTCCCCCACCCACCCCAAACTCCTCTGGGGAGACGGGCAGGTCTGGGCACAGCGACAGGCCAGATGGGCTTTCAGAGCTTGTGTTCTGCTCAGCTGGGGGGGGGCCAGCCCCATGTGTCCCAGGTTTGCTGCCCCCCCCCAGTATCACAGCGAGACAGGCGGCCGTGCTCTCATGCTGGGACTGAGAAGCAGGTCACGTCGGCCTGGCCTGGGAGACCAGCGACCGGAGCAGCCCCGGGGCTCTGTAACAGGGGCCCCCGGGAGAGGGCAGGAGGGGAGATAGGGCCTGATTCTCTGAGCACCTGGGCCGGGAGGGGACTGGGAGATGAGCCACCCCCCAACCTTTTTGTCTCCTCTGTCCAGGGCTCTGGGGCCTGGTGAACAACGCAGGGATCGGCATCCCCACGGCCCCCAACGAGTGGCTGACCAAGGACGACTTCGTCAAGGTGTTGAACGTGAACCTGATCGGCCTCATCGAGGTGACCCTCAGCGTCCTGCCCCTGGTGAAGCGAGCCAGGGGCCGGGTCGTCAACGTGGCCAGCACGATGGGCCGGCTGGCCATGATTGGAGGGGGCTACTGCCCGGCCAAGTACGGGGTGGAGGCGTTCTCCGACAGCCTCCGGTGAGAGCCATTGCTAGCCGCGTCCGCCGTCGTGTCCTGACCGGGGATGGGTTTGGCCCAAGAACCTCGGTGCTCCGGCAAGGTCGGCAAAGCTCTGCCTACCTAGAGCAACCCCTACTGGTCTCCAAACTGCCCCCGGCACACCCTGTGCGTCTGGGACCTCCCCCCATAACCGGACACTCCCCCGTCTCTGCCCCCCAGACACCTTCCCTCACTCCCTTTGCATCCAGCCTTAGCAACTCCTTGGGGGGGTCCTGTGCCTCGGCGGGGGCTTCCGTAGTCATGTCGTCGTTCCATTCCAGGCGGGAGCTCCTTCCTTTCGGGGTCAAGGTGTGCATCATAGAGCCGGGCGCCTTCGGGACGCAGATCTTAAATACCCAGATCATGAAAGACATGCTGCAGGAGGTGTGGGGCCGGGTCCCCGCCGAGATCAAAGAGTCGTACGGGCAGCGCTACTTCGACACCTGTGAGTCCAAGGGGGTGACCGGGCCGGGGGCTGGATGCTCCTGGGGGGATTGTAGCCGGATGAGGGCGGGGAATAAACTGAGCCCCGCTGGTGCGCAGCCACTTGGGGCCTGCAGAGCTGCGGACGGGGTGGGGCTGGACCTTTCCATTCCAAAGCCCGGGGGGCTCTTCTCCGAAGCCTCCATTGGGCCCAACGGCCCCAACGGCTTTGAATACGCAGCCAGGGGTGGAGGAAGGGCTGCAGTCCCGTTTCCCAGGGCCAGGCTCATCCTTTCAAGATCCCGCGCTGATCCGGTAGCAATCCGGTGGTGCCCCATAGCTCCTGAGTCCCGGGATCTATTCCTGCTTTGACGGTGGGCGTGTACACGCACGCGCTTTCCGGTGGCTCAAACCACGGTGGCCCTGGAAGCTCCGGACCGTTTCCCCTACGTTCGGCTCCGGTTTCGAAGCAGGAAGGGCTGATTTCAGGCTCTGCAGCCACTCCGAAGCTGGGGGGACTCACACGCTCCCCGCTCGTCAGTCTACCCCGCCCCGGGCCTGACTTCGGCCTCGTTTGTATTTCCACACGCAGATTATGAGCAATTCCTCCAGCTCTTATCCACGGCCAGCCCCAACCTCTTCCTGGTCACCGACTGCATGGAGCACGCGCTGACAGCCCGCCACCCCCACACTCGCTACTCGGGGGGCTGGGACGCTAAGCTGTATTACCTCCCGCTCTCCTACTTGCCAGCCTGGTGCCAAGACTTCCTGCTGACTCTCCGGCAGCCCAAACCGGCCCAGGGCATCTAGGGGGCATCGGCGGTGAAGCCACCCGGGGGAGATATTACGGTTGAGACGGCAGCATCTCGCCGTGTAACTTACTAGCTTCTGGGGTGCAGCGTATTGCTTGTTTTAAAGCCAGCGGGGTGGGACTGATCAGGTGTCATACTCCGGTTAATGAAAAGAG